TGTATTGTGTACATATTTTCATTTGTAATCGTTGTTAACAAGTTAACTTGCCCAGTTCTTTATTTGGTTATAGTGGTTATAAGTTATATAATTGAGTATAATATTGAGTATAATATATAAAATACAGTATAATAAGTGTTCAAGTCTCATTCCAGTCCTTGGTTTGGCTCATCCTTTTTAGTTTCCTCTTGTTCAGGTTTATGTCTTCTTAAAAATACATTTCCGAGACGAACGAAGAGTTTTTCGTGAATCTTTTCCTTTCTTAGCACATACAGCCCCAGAATCAGAGCAATAACAATGAAGATTACTTGGAAAATTTCTATAATCCAGTGTTGTTCAAATTCAGCTAAATCAATGTCAGTATCAGATTCCCATTTTCCGTCAAAGATAAGGGATCAAACTATGTCATCCATATCTTTGTTAAACTCACTAGCTTGGGACATGAACTCTGGCAGGGGTGGTAACTCTATGTCCTTTAAATCCTCTCCATTCTCTTTTGGCAACATCTGTTGATACTTGATGACGAATGGTGTTTGAACACTTACATGTTCGATAAACTGGAATACATCAGCACTACAAAATGGAGCTATCAGTTCATTCCTATCATCATTCTACTTAGCTCAATAAAAGATTTATCATCGGAAGAGGCTGCTAAGTAATCCGGAACATTTGTAATCATTGAAGCTGAATTGTTAATCTTGTATAAGTTGTACAGCTCAGTCGACTTCCTGTATTACCTGCTTGGAAGGCTTCATACTCCAACCCCAGGCTTACATCATCATCGATTGTTTTGGGTTTACCTTGGTAAATCGCCCATTTCATGTCAACGTTCATTATTGCTTCCATAAATTGATCCAAAGCTAGCTGACTCTGTACTTCACATGTTGTTTTTGGCCATGTTTTCTGACTAATTTCTTAAGGTCCTGCGCAAGTTCGGGAAGTGATTCCTTGTTTTTTTTCTCTTACGATTCTCCAACTGTGCTTTATACATTTGTAGCTGATCTTCTGGTTCAAATCTATTTTGCAAGGCTGAACAAAGTTTCTCATAGTCACGTCTATCTGCTTCACTTATATCAGACAATATACCCAATGCCAGTCCTCTTAAAGTGGTTGCCAGTTCAAGGGCCTTTGTTGTTTCATCCCAATTATTAGAGGCTGATACCATTTCGAAGTGGCATTTGAAGTCTTGCCACGATATCGATCCATTATTTTCAGCCGGGGGTTGTTTTTTTTGGCCTTCCTTTCTCAACATGTTCATATGCTGTAATCTTTGTACCTCAGGTTTGAATTTCACTTCTTGCAACCCTCGTATGTCTGACAAAGGGTATTGTCCCTCTTACTTTCAATATTGCCTCTTTGTAGGCTTCCCCAAAAATTTTGGTGTGTCTTCTTGGGTGCATCTTCCGGATCAGCTAACCATCGTTCCTCCTTCGAAGGATATTGTAGTGCCTCTTTGTAGGCATCCCCTGTAGATAGCCGTCATTCCTGTGGCCAAGAATTTTGGTGTGCCTTCTTGATGGCATCTTCTGGATCAGGTAACCGTCGTTCCTCCTTCCAAGGATATTGTTTAGCCTCCTTGAAGGCATCCCCTGTAGGTAACCATCGTTTCCTCAGGCCATGAAACACAATTCGCCTTCTTGGTGGCGTCATCCACATCAGGTAACCGTCGTCCCCCTTCCAAGGATATTGTTTATCCTCCTTGTAGGCATCCCCTGTAGGTAACCGTCGTTTCCTCAGGCCAAGAATATTTGTGTGCCTTCTTGGTGGCATCCCCCGTAGGTAATTGTCGTTCCTCAGTCCAAGAATATTTGTGTGCCTTCTTGGTGGCATCCCCTGTAGGTAATTGTCGTTCCTCAGGCCAAGAATATTAGTGTGCCTTCTTGGTGGCATCTTCCGGATCAGATAATTGTGGTTCCTCAATCCAAGAATATTAGTGTGCCTTCTTGGTGGCATCCCCCATGGGTAATTGTCGTTCCTCAGTCCAAGAATATTAGTGTGCCTTCTTGGTGGCATCTTCCGGATCAGGTTGTTCCTCAGTCCAAGAATATTGGTGTGCCTTCTTGGCGGCATCTTTATTGAGCTCCAACTTTCAAGGGTATTATAGTTGCCCCCTCGTATGGCATCTTTAGTGGAAGGCCATTCCTGTTTGTAGGGAATTGTACGTCGCTTCCCCCATGGCGACAGAGAAGGTTCGAAAAGTGACTGCCTTCTTTTTTGGGAATGTTCCCATTTGAAGCACCTACTTCGGCTTTTGTCAATGATTGCTGTGGCGAGAGTACTTCCATATTAATCTGAAGCACTTGTAAATCTGAAGGGATGGATGTTACCAATCCTTCCGATACGACTTCCTGTAGCCTTGGTGTTTCGTTTTACACATCGTTGATAGGTTAATATGTCTCGCTCTCTGGATCGAAATTCTTTGACTTCATCTCATAAGCGGAAATTGACGTCGCTTTCCGTGGTGCGACACAAGTGACAGTATTTTTCTCGGAATTACTCCCGAGAAAATAGATGTATGACTCGTATTGACGTGACTGCCAGCTTGTAAGGTTGTGAGTGCGTGTGTGAACAACTGCAGGTCTTTGCTACCACAATCGAATATTTTAGCGCAGTAGTAGTTGACTTTATGGAGCCCCCAGTCTAGACTCCCTGCAATTGTCGCTAATTATATACATAGATCATTGATGGTTTTCAGCATCTTTCATCCTAAGTCTGTCTTCCTCTCTGTCGTTGAGTTGTCTCAATATGTCTGCATATTGTCATCAAAGGATTGTTCTAAAGCATCAGCTCATTTCACCATATTTTAATCCAACTGTTTTTATCATAAAACGTTCCCATGTTGTTTTCACATATCAATATCAGAGAATTCGGGACATCTTGTATCTTTCTATAGTCCTGTTGGTCTATCAAATCTTGATCAGGGATTTGATCTCAGGTTCAGTTATGCTCGGCGAATAACTTCAATGATCCACTTTGACTGTGTTGTTTAAGTCGACTTAAGTGAGAACTCCATTACACAATCTCGGTTTGGCCAAAAACATGAACCTTTCATGGTAATTTCCATGTTTTAATTTTTTAATGATTTTAATCAGTAGATGGCAAGTTGTTATGATTGTTTAACAAAAATTACTGGATATCCGTAGTTAACAAAAAGTGCCGTACTCTACATTTCCCAAATAGATGTAGCAACAGTATTTAAAGTTGCCTCGACTTTATCTTCTTCTATTCAGTGTCAGAAATGAGATGTTACAAATTATGCAAGTCATTGAACAAAGCATAAATTATTTATTTACTTAATATTCAGAGAACTTAAGATACTTTTTGAATAGTTCTGGGAGTGGTATTTCTGTTATGTCTTTTATCTGCACCAAATCTTGAATTTTTATGATGCAGTTGGCTTTTAGGGTTGATGGTACATCTTGAAATTCGAAAAATGCTGTGATGTTTTCGTATTTCTTTTGAAGTTTCGAAATTTTCTCAAAATAGTATCGAACAAACCCGTTTTTACATATGAAATGTGACAATTCCTGAAAATGTGAAATTCATCCAGTTTAATATAGCCTGGCACTATGATTTGAGCATCTGACATTTGTTCATTGATAAGGTATCTATATGTTCTTAAAAGTAAATTAGATCGCTTAATAAGACTGTATTGAAGACCAGTTATTGGAAGTGATCCCTGATACGGGAAAATTAAGGTAATCCTTGGCATTCTAAAATTTAATTACCTGCGGTGTACTTGTTATTTAACTACAAATACAAGTCTAACAAAAATACTGCCTATCTTTTTCTACAAAGATTGTCATCATTTACATTTCCTCAAATTTCGCAAAAATAAAATCAATTCATAAATTTAAAGTGTTTTACAGTAGTGATACTTTCACAGTTTATATTTGAATGTGTTACGCCTTATCAACAATAAATTGTTCCAGGGAGATGTTTCCCAAAATGTCAAAACAGTTATCATAACATAACATAAACTAGATCACGATTATCCCAAGTAATTTGAATAGCTAGAACAGAAATGTATGACTGTATAAAGCTGGTCACATCACAACAGTTTAACAATGGAACAACATCAACAAACTGGATTAATACTGAAAAGAATTAATTCAATACAGATAATATTAAATCAATTCCAAAAAACAAAACAATGCAAAACAAAACAACCAGATATCATTTTATCGGGAGCTTTAAAAGTAAGTTTCATTTGGAATTTAAACCAAAATAAAAAGTTCGGTACTGGTCAACATGTGATTTTAAGTACTGGATAAAGCATAAGAATGAGATTTTATAAGAAATAATACACCGAAGGCCGAAGGCCTGAGGTTATTATTTCTTATCAAATCGAATTCGAATGCTTTATCTTACTTAAATCACACACATTCTTATTACAGGTAAATGGTATATTGCAGGTAAATGGTCAATGATCTAATCTGGAAAATTTTATTTCTTTTGTGTTGACTGTTCATGTAGGGGTAAGTGGTTTGATACATGAAAGTGAGTGAGTTCTTTTGAGTTGACTGTTCATGTAGTTATATAGCCAATTAATTGTAACAACAAAAATAGTTGGTTGCATTGACCTCATGAGTGTGAGTTGATGTAAGTGACTGAGTGGGCTATAATTAGTCTAGCTTCAGTGCACTACAGGTGACTGTCCAGTCCAGAACATTGCATTTGAATACAGCAGAATATTTGTAAGTAAGATAAGATCAATGATGAAGATAGCAACAAAAATTGATAAATTGTTTTATTCTAAAGAATGCACAGTAACAAGAGAAGGGTACATGTATTTTTGTATATTGTTTTTAGGGAATGAAAACTATCAAAAACTGTCAATGGTCATTTATGTCTCACTTGTTTTTGATAGCTTGCCAAGTGTACATTCTTTAAAAACAATAGAAAAATAATGCACTTTCCTTTTGATAAAACCATACATTCTTAAAAATAAACCACAGCAAATTCTATTGTGTTGCTACCCAAGTGGGATTTAAGGGTAAGTAAAACATTCTTTTGAATTTACTGAAAACATACTTATTTTATCAGTTATATATGAATATGAATCATTAACATCTCGGTCATGTTGTAGATCCACTGTTAACTAAATCAGAGTCAAAATTCACTGACAAGAAAAACAGAAAATATTACTTCATACCCCAGAGTTCTTTTCTTAACAAAAGTTGAATAAATGATCCCTCTTAAAACAAACAGATATATAATTTGAACTTAAGAAATGCTTTACTAAAAATGTTCAGCAATTATCTTCCCCACAATCATATAAACTTGTTCTATATTATTTACCTTAATTTTGTTGAAAGTTAAAATGGTCATCACGAATATAACTTTTGAAATATTAAAAAAAATTCTCAATTTCTTTATTTAAGTCACTTATTTGAAGAACTTCAAATCATTTCATTATGCTTTTCATTCTTATAATAAACCAACCAAATATCTGACAGTTGTTTTAACATATTTTCTGTGCATGAAAATGAAGTGTTTTACCGTAGTCTTGCTGTATCCTTAAAACGTTTATTCCTGCTGCCAAGTAAAGATATCCATATGTTTACGCAGATTGAGAGTATTGATCTCTCAGTTACAGCCTTCGATACAACTTCCTTCCGATACACATTTTGTATTTTGTATGACGAATACTTATCTAAATAACAACTGACCAAATTGCAAAATATTTAATTTAAACATAACTCAATCCAATACGTTTGCCATCCACTGATTATTTTATAAATAATTTTTAAATGTTTTCATGCTTATGCAATAAAATATTGAGACAATACAAAGGCCACAGAAATGTGGGCCTTGACCAGGGCGGAACCTAGTCAATCTATCCCACCACTGCCACCAATTGTGGCGAAGTTGAGTCTCTCTATCTTTTACAAAACATGAAAACAAATAAAGTTTAAAATATTAATTTATTCAAGAAAAGTTAAAGTCCAAAAATATCATTTCAATCGGCTACTTACAGTTTTTAGTTTGTCCCGAGTT